AGTTCCAGTTTGCCCATATGCAAAGATGGTACAATTATACCCATCAAGAACCTCAAAGACAATTGGAGAAACTGCTTGATGGTACAAGTCCTTTTGCTGGGATGTTGGGCCAAAAACCTATCAAATTCCACAAACTTGTAAGCATGATACTTTCTTTCAGAAACTTATCATTATGCTCACTATCTAAAAAGCCTTAAAGACTAAACTAAAAACGTAATGAGATGAACTAAACCTTATCAAACAAAAACGTTTTATCAATCTGTTTCCCAGCTATATTCTGAGCTACCGCCACTTCCTTTTTCCGGTCATTGCAGGTAAGAACCGCCGGTGTTTGTAACCTCGTCTCCTCTGAATTAAACGGTCTGCAAAATACAGAACCCCCAGAGTGGAGATTAGTAAATTGAAACAACAACAACTTACCATTCAGCAAAAAGGAATTAACCAAATGTACCTGCAACGAACAATAACTTGTATATTCACACCCTTTTCTTTCTCATTCTTGCTAACAGGATTCGAGTTTGAGTTTGAGTCAACTCGAAAATCTCGATTTGACTTATCAGTCGAACGTGGAGTTTGACATGGAGATTTCGCTGAACTTCCTTTTTTCGCATTATTAGAATCCATATCTTCTCCTTACAGTTTCGTAAGCAACAAAACTATCAATATCTCTCTCTGCATCAACGTAGAAACAAATCTCTATCAACCACCACAATAAGTCAAAGATCCACACAAAACAAGCTCAAAATCACAATCAACAAAACTCAAACTCCATTAACCTAATAAACACATCAACCCAATCTACAAATTTCTAAAGATTCATCGAATCACGCCCTAAACATTGAACAAAAACGAAATTTCTACCAAATTAAACCTAGAAACTGCGTTTATATTCAGCAATGGAAGATTCAAAACTTGAAATGTATCTCCGAATCTCCAGAAATTCTGGGGAATTGAAACATGAGTAGAAGAAAATGTACCGATCAAACAACGAACGTCGGAGTTTAGATTCCGATTCCTTGAAGCAATCTCCGAGAATCTGGAGATTTCAAACACAAATTCGAATTTTGAATTTCTGGCGATGGTGGTTTTATCTTTCCGATGAAGAAGAGAGATTGATGAATGAGAAAAATATTAGACGCAAAGGTTAAATTAAAACGAAGAGCAAAAAAAATATGAAATTCGGAGGATTAAAAAATAAATATAAATGAGCCGTTACGGCAGGCGCTGGCGTTTGACTTGTTAGACGCTAACGGCGTTAATTTTTGAACCGTTATGTTGTAAAATCCGTGATCCGACCGTTGTGAAAAAGGACAATACGCAAATAAAGAAAAGGTGATTTGAAAACTTCGAATTTTTGATTTGGGAAGTTTTTGGTTTTTACCCCTTAATTCTTATTGTAATATGTGATTAGCACCATAATATAAATTTACCCACTTCAATCAAACCTGTGATTTTATTAAAATTTAACTTTCTGTAAAAAATCATTTTTCGTGCTATATTCTGACAAAACATTTTTATTGTTTTAATCTCTATACTATTAAAAGAGAAGTACAAATGAAAATGGGTCGGGTTAAAATCAGAAAATTGACCCGAAATTCTGAAATCGGATCTTTAAAATTTTTTTGGAATATAAATTCGAATTAATAATGAAAAATCGAAATAAAATCAAATATTTATGGAAATCAAATAAAATCTGATTGTACTTATGGTAACTAATAATAAAAGCATATTCCAAACAATATTATACATTAATTACGTATAATAAATTTGTTTATATATTTTTGGGACTAATTCCATAACAATCAACGTTTTTGTTATTAATTTCGCTCATTTTAGCCAATTATCATTAATTGAAAGATATTTTATTTGTTTCTAAAGATTTCTAGAAAATTTATCACAAATAACCCATCTGTTTTATAAATTAAATTGATATTTTTATTTTGATCGTGTAAATTAAATAGATATTTTTATTTTGGTCATGTAAATTAAATAGATATGAAATCCATGTAACTAATTTTAATTTAATTAGATTAAATCGAAATTATGATATTTTCATACCTATAGCTTACCAAAGAAGTTTAATTTTCAATTTATAAAAATTTCTTGAATATGATTTTAGAATTATTCAACAAGATGATAAGTATTTATTAAATTTTGTGAATCATGAAAAATAATAATTAATTTTTAATCATTATACTTCATCTTTCAATCTCTCATCTAACAAATAAGATACATATTCTATTATTACTATGTCCAAACTTCATTTTGTTGTATGACTAAATAATATTCCCATTAGAACTGTCAAAGCGAGTTGATTCGTCCTGTTAAGTCTGTTTTGCGATAGACAAAAAATATTTTGACTTGTAGTTAGTCGGTCCGCACGACCCGCGGGTAGCATATATGAAATACAAATCCGTCCCGCGAATGTATGCGGATTTGCGGGATTGTCCATGGATTTTGTTTAAATAATTTTAAAGTAACCAAAATTTAAAATACTACTAAAATAAATAAATAAATCAAAATACTATTAAAAGTTTGTTTAAATTACCACATGTTGAATAAATTATAATTTTATCAATAAATACTAATATGCGGGCTGATCCGCCAACCCGCGGACGATGAAAACCGATTAAACCTATGACCCACTGCGAATTAATCCATGTGGCCCGCTTATTTGCGGGTTTAATATATTTTCCCAAATCTGCCCCATAGTGAGATGATGCGGGCTCGACCCGCGGTTTTTGATCTATTTTGACTGCTCTAATTCCCATGAATCGTCTAATTTTAGAATTTTAAAACACAAAATTCTATTTTGTAAATCATAATTAATACCATGAGTATATTTATAAACAATTTTACATTTTCTCTACAATTCGTTATTATGAATATTTATAAGTATACTACACGATTCGTTCTACTAAAAAACACACACAATATTAAACGCAACGTATGTAAACCAATATTCTCCCGCGGTGGACCGCGGGTCCGATCCTAGTCAGTGTTTTAAAAAGCAATCTAAACGGCCTTAAAAATTGTTAATTAATATCATTTAATTATTATTTGTATTTATTTCAGTGTAATTTTCCAATTTTTAACTACAGATTTAAATTTATAAGTTTCGATCTCATATACCATAGTTATAAAAATTGATATGTTATTTGATATTAAGCAACTGAATTTTTTTGGTCTAATTTTACTTTTTAATTAAACATTCTTTTCTGATAATATTTTTTCTTTCTATTTTTTTACTTATGATATCATATTATAATATTTTATTTATGAATGCTTAAACCACCTAAAATCGTTTCGGTCCCAATCAAATGTTCTAGACGGCATGAGTTGGTTGGATCACCGCTCGTTTAGAGCTTACAAATTTTTTAAACATTAGTTTTAATTTTAACCAGTAATTTCTTAGAATTATACTTTAATAAGTTAATGATCGTTACTCTAATTTGAAACTCTTTGAACACAAATCTAGACACGAATTTCTGGATTCAAATATGTTCATTCACGACTTGAACAAAAATAAAAAAAACAAAACAAAACATACCTATAATAATATTACTATAATCTTAATTAAAAAACTTGGCCTCACGTCGAGGGAATAACACACGGAAGTACGTAGATGTGAAAGCACACACATGACTTGATTTTACTTGGTGCCTCAAATTTTCAATATATGGACTCGAATAAAGCTGCGGCACTAGTTTTTTTTTGTTCGATGGATTTTTAGCTTTTGGATCATAGTTTTTTTTATTTTTGGGTTTTTGTTTTCCCTAGTAGATTTGCCCTAGTTTTATAGAAAATTTGAATGCTAATTGTATTTGGTTAAGTTTTATTATTATTCTTATATTAACTTTGATTTATATTGATTTTAGACATTTGTTTTTATGTGTGTATAACTAACTAAAGCGAATATAATTAAGGTAGGTTCAGTTTTTATTTACATGTAAAAGTATTGATTCACTTACTTAACACGATAAATGTAATTGCAGGAGTTGTCAAAGCTTCAAATGGAGAAAGAAAAGAGAAAAATGTTGGATCAAATAGCAAATAAGAGAGAAGAAATTATGACATGGTGGGAAAAACCTCTGAATCAACTTGATTTCACACAAACCAATAAGTGTTCTGGAAAATCTGAAAATGGAATTGAGAAGTAAACGATCCCCAACACTCTCAAAGAATTTGTTCCTCAGAATCAATTTGGCTGTAACAACATTGTTGGTGTTGGTAATATCGATCTTCTTGACCAAAGTAAAATGATTGATGTGAATGCATTGATTATTCCTAATCATGGACAATAATGCTTCTGAGGGGTTTCCATATATCACTTTAATTAGAGATGGTTACATTTTTTGTATTGTGTGTTTTGTATGTGTTAGCGTATGAGATGATATATGAATATATATATATTTTTAATTAATTTCAACTTTCAGCATCCAAAATTTATAGACTTAATCCATCATATTAGTCTGTAATAGAGTGGTTTATACACGGATTCGTACGTGAACTTTCCAGTGAGCGGTGGTCGGAATTTTTGTTGTTTGTTAACCAGGGACTTGACAGCATTCCTGAAGCTGCTTTAGGGAAGATGTGGTCCAAAAAAGCTCGAATGGATGAGGAATTTGTTGTAAACCTTAGTGAAGATAACTTAACATGCGACGAAAGCATTGAAGCTTCGTCGCTTTGGGAAAATCAGGTTATCCCCAATCCTACTAGCCTGGGAACTGTTGGGGAATTCGATGGTTTTTCGATTCAGATCTGGAGAATGCAGATTTAGGAACTCCCCCTGATTTGCTCACTGTAAGATTTAGCTTAAAGATAAACCTTTGTTACATGTGAAAAATGTGTCGCCAAAGTACTTTTGTTTACGATTCATGCCGATCCATG